ATAATGTCGGTGATGGTGGTGGTGGTCAATTCGTTCGTTTGTTTTTTCGTTGATGATGATTCTCATCAGGAAAAAAAAATGGCCATAATTTTTTTTATATAACCCAGGTCATATAATTTTCATATTTTTCTTCTTCACTTTTGTTAACCCATTCAACTAAGATTTTGCTTTGGAGAAAAAAAAGGGGCAAAAATTCTGAAAAAGCCATGAACATTTTAATTTTGAAATTGTTTTTTTTTCTCGATCTGATTTCAGTCGGGATTTATATCTGTATATCAAATCGATTCGGATTCTGATTCTGGCTCTGAAAAAAATTGTCATTTGCAAAAAAAAGGAAAAAAAGGTCATTGAATAGTTGAATTTTCGAAAATTTTTAAATCAAATTATATTTTTTAAAAAAAAGGGATAATAAGAGGGAGAGAAATGGAAGAAACTTTTTCTGCCAGAAAAAAATGGTTGGTTCGTACGGGTTTTTTTCAGTTCAATTCAATTTTTGGATCATTAGTGTGTGTTTGAGACTAATGGATAGTTTATCTCTTTCGGTTTTTGCGTTCATTCGCTGGCTGGCTGACTCTTTTGATTGAAAAATGGATGCAGATCAGTTTTTTTTCAATTTTAATTTCATTTCGTTTGATCGTTTTTTTTCAATCGAATTAAAATCTTTCTTTTTTTTCGAAAATTAAATTCGATGATTTATAACTCAGAAACGAACGAATTAATCGATTTAATCGATAGTTGTTTTAAAATCCCAGCAAAAAAAGAAAGATTCTCTCGTCTTTTTTTCTAAATGAGGATTATTAAGCGCAGCAACAAAACAATGAAAAACAACAGCCGAAAAAATCAATTAGAAAATAACCATCATTAGCAACAACAACGATAATAATCCTTTAAACACTCAAATCAATCAAATAAACATTAAGATTTAACCATTTAATACTTTTTTCACGGAGCTTTCTTGCTGATGAATCATCCCGAATGATGATGATGATGATGATCTTGGTTTGGCAAAAGAAAAAAAGTCATTAAATCAAACGATTAAGAACAAACAAACAAGCAACATCGTCAGTATCGTCGATTTTTATCATCATCATCATCATCAGGTGTTGATGACAACCAATCAAACCCGAAGAACCCGAAAAAAAACCGAAAATCATAATCATAATCAAGAAACAGTAGCAGCAGCAGTGGAAAATATGTTCAGCAGAGAAAAACAACAAAACTTTTTGGTTTTTTGGTAAAGCGGCCACCCAAACTTGTTAATTCTTGTTTTTTTTTGTTTTGTTTTTTTGCCAAAATTTTTAATTCCTTTTTCATTAATTCCATGAAACAACAGATGCATGCACGACGATGATTTCAAAGATTGTTTGAACTTTATCTTTGAACATCTTATTCTCTGTTTGTTGTTATTGTTGTTTGAACACATATTGTACATGCGAATTCCACTTGAATCATCAATGAATTTTTTCATCCGGGTTTCGAATGTCTGTTTGAACACAAACACACACACACACACTTATCTCAATATAAGAATTCAAAGTGATCATTGATGAAACATGAAATGAAAAAGAATTTAATTTTCATTCGAAATTAAAACTTGTGATGTTTTTTTTTTGTTCGGGAAACACACTTGAGAAATACATGAAATTGATTGTATCATTTTTCGAAAGTGGATTCTTGAAATTCTTTTTTTGTTGTTGTTGTTTTCGTTGTTATTGAATTATTAAATTCAAATTAATATTGTTGGAATTTACAAATTCTAACCGAAACAAATTCTGAGTGAAATTCAGAAATGAAGAATTTAAAAAAAAACTAATTTGAATTTGATGTTGCAAAACGTATATGTTTGTGGTTTGATTGCCAGGTGTGAATCGTTTTTCGTTTTTGATTTTTGATTTTTTAAAGATTTCAAATGGCAGATGTTACATAGAAAAATAGAGAAACACGGTAGCATCATTTTGGGTTGTTTTTGTTTTTTTTAATTTCAATTTTATTTGTTCGGGAAAATTTTTTCCAGTAATTTTTACAACCGGAAAAGTTTTTTGAAAAGTTTTATCTCTCGCTTATCTGTGGTTTTTTTTCTGGCCAATTTTCCTTCACTGAAAAAAAAGGTCAAAACATTTTCCTTGATTTTTGATTAGATTAACGATCATCCATCAATTAATTACCCTAATGATGTTAATAATGGTTATCATTGATCAAATCAACCAACCAACCAAAAAGCTAACTTGATTTGATTTTGTTTCCACTAACTAAATTCGATTCGATTCGGTTGTGGAAAACCGTCAAAAATTTTCTAAAAACCATCAAAAAATCAAACCCGTTCATCTCTCTTATCCCAAAAGTGTGTGTGTGTGTGTTTGTGTTTACACACTTTACACACTAAGTGGAGAAGATTTTTTCCAATCAAATAATTTCCAATTAAACTTTTTTTTCCATTTGGTCATCTCTCTCTCTCTTGAAATATTTACCCTTTTCACTACTTGGTTGATTGAATTTTGACTTGTTTGACTTTTGCTCGTGTGTGTGTAAGTAAGTGTTTATTCGTTTTCAAAATCCAAACTTTTTTTTTGGATAAGATTTACCCTATGGCTTTCTCGAATGATGGTGGTGGTGGTGGTTTCAGAGTTTCAAAAGTTAACTCTTTCGGCATTTTTTGTTTGCCTTTTCTTTCTGGCTATTTTAACTCGATTTGGATCAATTTCCACTTGAATGGAAAAAATATATATCCGAAAATCCATTATCATCATCATCATTGAGGAAAAATAAATGGCCAAAACTGAAAACCCTTAGTTCATTCGAGAATAACTTAAGTAGCTTGATTTTTTGCAAAATTTTAAGCTTTTAAGTAACGTCAAACGCGTATGATGATCAAAAAATTCAAAAAAAAACAGAAAAAAACCAGCAGCAGCTATAATAACCCTATAGGAAAAAACGAAAACTTTATGACTTTTTTTTGAACATTTCTTTTTGTTTTTGGTTTTTTTGCCGAAAACAAAAAATAAATAAAATCCCCAATACTCCCCCCTCAGATTCTCTATCTCTCTCGATCTCAATCATTTGTTTAACCCTAGGAAAAAATTTTCAAGAGACCATAGTCGGTTGTTTAGTTTAGTTTTAGCTTTGGTTTGGTTAAATGGAATCATTCTCCGGGACCAAAAAAAAAAAACGTTTTAACCATGTATATGCCACGCGTCATTCATTCATCGAAAAATTGGCTTCAAAAATCAATCAAAAGTATAGGCGTTTTTTTTTCTCCAGTTACCATCTTCAAATTGAACTGATTCGATCGATTGAAATCAATCGAAAAAAACATAGAAAGAAAGCAAAAACAAACAAACAAACTTTATGGCCTTTATTTTTTATGATTTTATTCCAGTTTTGGATCCTGATGATAATCATTTGGTTGGTTTGGTGTAAACAACAAACAAACAAACTAAATTGACAATTTTGTGACTTAAACTTCCGATTTGAATACTTAATAAAATTTTCAATCTTTTTTTTCATTTGCCCAAAAGCCAAAAACTAAATTCTGATCACTTCAAAATTGATTTTTGACCAAAGAGAGAGAGAGAGAGAGAGAGAGAGAGAGAGGAGAGAAAATCCAAACTTTTTTTTTGGATAAGATTTACCCTATGGCTTTCTCGAATGATGGTGGTGGTGGTGNTGGTGTAAACAACAAACAAACAAACTAAATTGACAATTTTGTGACTTAAACTTCCGATTTGAATACTTAATAAAATTTTCAATCTTTTTTTTTCATTTGCCCAAAAGCCAAAAACTAAATTCTGATCACTTCAAAATTGATTTTTGACCAAAGAGAGAGAGAGAGAGAGAGAGAGAGAGAGAGAGATTCAATCACCACCAAAAGTTAATAATATCGAAAGAAATACAGAAACAAAACTTATCAGTTTTGACTGCAAAGTCACTAAATCAAATTCTCCAATTTAAGTTTGTCGGTAAAATTCTTTATGATGATGATGATATTAGCAAGCAGCAGGAAAAATCAGCAGCAACATAATCATCATTATTTTTGTGAAAATTATGAAGAAGATTATGAATTTTGTTGCTGTTGTTGTTGAAATTTTTTTTCTTTCTTTCCAAAAATTGAACAAAAACAATAGAATTGACGAAATGATGATGATCAGGGTATTAAAAGGGTTAAGAAAAAAAGAAATCTTTTTTTTTACCTTGCAGGTATGGCCAAAATATCAAATCTTTTTACCTGGCGATTTTTCATTTCTTACCTGAAGATTTTCATTTTTCAAAGAATGCATTGAATTTGGTAAGTTGCGGCATTGCAAAACAGAAAAAACTTACTTTAAAGAGACTGATTAGAAAAAGTAGAGAAAATATTCAATCTTATCTTTGAAAATATTCTTCTCTAAAAATATGAACTTAATCGAAGGCAAGAATTTTGAAATAATTAAATCAACAACAACAGTGTGTTTGTTGTGGCTTTTTGTTTCAAGAAAATTCTTTTCTCTCGTTTTGACCTTTCTGACCGGATTACCTCGTTTTTGTTTTGATTTTTGGTTGGAAAATTTTCCCAAATCCCATGATATTTGATCGATCGATCAATCAATCAGTCAATCGATCGATTTGAATCGATTGACAGGCTGATTTGAACAAAATGTTGTGGAAAAACTTTTTTTTCCCAAGAACATTAGTCATGTGTTTTGCCAAATACAAAACCAAAAAAAAAAAAAAATGACAAAAAATTTGTTCCGGAAAACCAATCAATCAATAAATAAATCAATCATTTTGAAAGGAAAAAGATTCTTTATTTCTTTAAGACAAATTAACACGCACAAAAAAAAGAACAAATATTTTCACAGAAACAAAAAGCAAACAATCTTGTTTATTTGTAATTTAATAAATCGAAGGTTTTACAAACTAAATTATAATAATTTGCTGTGTGTAATTAAGTAATGTGTAATTAGAAATGTAGATTATTCTGGCTAATTTTATAATGTAAAACTGTACAGTGTAACGTCGTTTAATCAATGATCATTATTCGGTGACAATGATGGTGAAGATAATGATGGCGACGAAGACGACGATGAAGATGAAGACGCTGAAGATGATGATAATGGTAAAGATTCAGATAATTTTTTATTATTTGATTGTGTTTGTCCAGCATTGGTCGCAGTTGCAAATCGCTTTTTCATTAGTTGCTGTTGTTCTTCATGTTGATAAACATCAACAAAATGACGTTTAAAACTTTTCTGTGGTGGATGTTGTTGTTGATGATCAATAAAACGACGAAAATTGTTTGAATGTTTATTTGATGAATGTTGATGCGTATGCGACTGATTATGATGAATATCGTTGATCGGATGATGAATATCACCATTTACAACATCAACATCACAATCATCATCATCATCGTTATTATTCATCAATTGATTATCATCATCAGAATCATTCATTTTAATTGATTTTTTCATCGATTTATTGATTGATTTTTCATTTCCATTATCATTATCGCTTATTGATGAAAAATTTATTATTTGATGATCATCCACACTATCATCATCATCACTCATTGATTTTTGTAAATTTTTTTTTGTTGTTTTTGTGATTGATTTTTTCATCAAATTCAATACATCATCATTATCATCGTTTGAAATATTATTCGATTGTTGACCATCATCTTCATCACCACCACCACCACCACCACTATGATTATCATTATTGTGATTACTACCTTGTGATGAATGTATTGAACTTGTTGGTGAATTATGATGATGATTATCATTGGTGGCCAGTTGTTGTTGTTCAGATTCTAAATCATCATTATCGTTAGCTGATTTTGATCGACAATGTTTTTCCAATTCTTCCACAGCATCTCGATCTCTATCATCATCATCATTGCTGTTGTTGTCGTTTTTATTTGCTGAATTAATCAATGTTGATCGTTGTTGTTGATCGGTTACATTCGATAAAGTATCATTATTCATTTCCAATTTATCCAATGTATCGATTGAACGCCAAATTTTTGGTTGTCTATTATTTTGGTTTTGGTTTTGGTTGTTTGCTGATTGATGCAAACCTGATGATGATGATGCTACTGATGATATTGATCCAGGTGAATTATTCATCATCGATGTTGTTGTTGTTGTTGTCGAAGAATTTGTTGTTTGTTGAAAAAATGAATCAACATTTGGAAATGCCGAAGCTGTTCCTGAACCAACTGGATATGCACCTGCAGCAACAGCAGCAGATTGAAATGCAGCTGCTATTGAATGATGTGGATGTGGATAAGGATAAAATGGATGATGTAAAAATGATGATGCAGCAGCGGCTGCTGCTGCGGCTGATGGATGATTTGAATGAGCAAATAATGAATGAGCTTGATATGCGGCTGCAGCAGCAGCAGCTGCTGTTGATAAATTTCCCGTTGATGATGAGGATCCACCGTTTGCCGCTGCCATAGCCGGTGATGAACGTGTTAATGATCCAGGTTGTTCGGGTGAATTTAATAAATTGCGATTCGATGTTTGATGTGGATGATGATGATGCGGATGTGAAATTATCGTCGATGATGATGATGATGGTGGTGGTAATGAATCAGGATTCATTGATGATTTGGCAGCTGCGGCAGATGATTCTAATGATTTTGCCGCAAATGCTAATGCTTCTGAACCAATAAATCCACCGCCAGTTGCAGAATAATGTTGCGGAATTGAATGATGACTAGCTGATTGCGTCAATGATGATGGAACAATATTCGGTGAACGCTGCGGATGAATAGACGCAGTAGGTGTAAGATGCGATTGTTGAATTGCAATATGATTCGGTTGATGATGATATGATGATTGCTGCTGCTGTTGTTGTTGCTGTAATTGCATTTCATAACAAGCTTCATATTTACGTCTGGTTAAACGCATAAATGCCGCAAGTCTTGTGTGACGATTTTGCCGTATACGTTGAAATGTTTCCCATCTTGATTGTGGTAATTGTAATTTTTTCTGATATGATGATGTTGTTGTTGATTGCGGCGGTTGCGGTTGAAGTGGCAATGGTGGTGGTACTGGAAATGATGATGATATGTTGTGATTTTTTGCATGTTTACCACCGCTCAATAATGATTCTGATTGCGAATTTCGTTGTCGCTTATTCGTTGATGATGATGGTGTCGATTGCGTTATTTGTTGACAATCAACATCATTATGATGATGATGATTTGGGTGATTAGCGATCGTCGTTGTCGATGATGATGGTTGATCATTCGACCAATCTGGTAATCTGGATTTTAACAGAAGAAAAAAGAAATTTTATTGAAATTCAAAAGAATTTTTCCCGAAAATTTTTCCCATTTTAACAAATTATCATTGTTATGTGACACGTGTCTTGTTTTACTGTTTTCTCAAGTGGTTGTTCTCAATTGATAACAACCAAACGATATTACCATTTTCATTTTTTCATTTTTTCACAAAACACGTGTTTGCATTTGTCTGATCTGTCATCAGATCTTTTATTTGATATGATGTGTGTGTGTGTGGCTGTTTCTCGCTCTCTCTCTTTATATATGGAAATGACACGCGTTTCAAAATGGATATCCCATTCATTCATTCTTCGGATTCGATCGAATTAATCGATCGATAAAAACAAAGAGAGAGAGAGAGAGAGAGAGAGAGAGAGAGAGAGAGATTGGAACAAAAAGAAAAAGTCATGGTTGTTCGGGCCAACCACGGCAAAATTCTTAAAAACTTTTTTTGTTTCTTGCAAAAAAAACAAAAACAAAAATCATTTCTGTCAAACCAAATCAGTTTAGTTTAGTTNCGCCAGCTTGAGAGAGAGAGAGAGAGAGAGAGAGAGAGAGAGAGAGAGAGATTGGAACAAAAAGAAAAAGTCATGGTTGTTCGGGCCAACCACGGCAAAATTCTTAAAAACTTTTTTTGTTTCTTGCAAAAAAAACAAAAACAAAAATCATTTCTGTCAAACCAAATCAGTTTAGTTTAGTTGTCTTGTCTTGTCTAGTTTTTTTGGTTTTTATTTACGTTTCAATTAACACAATCAAACGATCACGCTTGTGCCATAGCCAAGCAAAAAAAAAAATCAACGAGCCAAATTAATTACCAATTAACAAAACGATTAATTTATCGTTCTCTCTCTCTCTCTCTCTCTCTCTCTAGCTGGCGTGCGTGCGACGACAAAAGATTTTTTTTTGTGTAAAAAATAAAAATCCGGATCAAACTTTCAAACTTGTGTTTTTCGTGTGTGTATGTTTTATGTATGCAAAAAACTAATCAATTTTATGCATCACTAAGAATTTGATTTTGGCTTGCTTGCTTGCTTACTCGTTTAAGAGTTAGTTAGCATTTTACACATAACCATATAAATTGATTAAAATGCAATTAACCACATCACTACCAACCATCATCAACATCAGCAATTTTTATGTATTCATAACGGCAATCTTGTGTCATTTCGTTCGGTTGTTGTTCGCTTGTTGTTGTTGTTGTTGCCTTGGATGATGAACAATCGGTTTAATCAAATTTAATCATGTTTAGACAACAACAACAACAACAACAACAAACTTTTTAATTAATTAATCTTTTCCTGTGTTGTTTTTTCAGATAATTTTCTTCTATAGAAAATGTTCTTCAAAAGCAGAAAAAAATCTTGAAGATAATCAAATAAATAGTTCGCGTGTCTTTTTCTCTGTGTTTGTTCAATTATCTTATCCTGTTTTGATTTTATCTTTTTTTTCGAGTTTGATCATTAAATTTTTCTCTTTTGAAATTTCAATTTACTTTTAATCTTTTGGACAAAAAAACTGATTGGAAATTTTTTTCTCCTTTTCTCTCTGTTTCTCAATTTCCAAATGATAAAAAAAAATCGAATGTCAAAGTACTTAAGTGTTTTTATCTTTGGCAAACTCTTTTTTTTGGCCATGTAATAAAAATGGCTTGAATTTGATTGAAATCAAAATTTCAATTTTTCAATTTGATTTTCGAGAGGAAAAAAATGTTAGTTTTTATTTGATTATCATCATCATCATCGTTTTCAATCTACATAAACGTTGATGATGATAATAATCAATGTTTGCTTCGAAATCGAATCGAAACGGACAAAAGTGTCAAAAAAAAACGCTAATGTTTTCCGCTAATAACAGCAAAGATTTCCCTATTTAATGATAGCCAATCAATCGAAAATGATATGCACGTGTCAGGAAGACATTATTATTTGAGAAAATGAATCGTTGATTCAAATTGGATTGATTGATTTGATTAGGGATGCAACCCGTTTTGGGTGAAACAAAAAATTGCATGCAATTTTCAACAAAAAAAAATGACTTACTTTCTCATTGTATCAATTTTATGCATTTCTTCAAAAAAATGTTGATTTATATCTATACCATCCAATGATATTGAACAAATTGGACAATGTAATACATTATTACCATTGCCATTGTTGTTATTGTTACCATTATTATTATTGATTGGATTCGTTGCTGATGATGTTTGACCAATATTATTCGATGATTGATTTGTTGCTGATGTTGCAGAATTTGCTGCAATTGGACCAGATTGTCCCATTGGTGGTGAACTTGGTGTACGTGTTGCAGCAGCAATTCGATGATAATTACCTTGATATGCTATGAAGAAAACGAAAAATTTTGAATAAATATTGATTAACCCTTTGATCGCTTGACTTTTTTTTCCCTAATTAAAAACAAAAAATACTCACGTGATTCAGCTGTTGTTGAAGCACATTCCGATCCAACAACATCAACAATCATTGTCGATGATGATGATGATGATTTACGTTGTTGTTGTTTATGATTAATTTGTGAAAATTGTAATGAATTATTATTATCGTTTAATGTACCTAATGGACTAAATAATACTGGTGATAATAATGATGATGATGCGGATGACGCAGATGATGATGTTGATGTTGTTGATCCACCATGATGATGTGGATGATGATGATTAAGATGTGGATGACCCGATGCGGTTGATGATCGTAAATGATCAATTTGTGGTGATAAATGACCTTGTTGTTGTTTGGCCATCATATTTGTTAATGGCATCAATGGATGATGATGATTATTCGACGATAATGATTGACCATTACGTTGACCACCATTATGATGATGACCGTTACCACCAGCAGCAGCGGCTGCTGCTGCAGCAGCCGCTGCAGCATACATTGCAGATAATGTATTATTACCGTTATTATTCGGTGAATGTTGTTGTTGTTGTTGTTGCGGTGATGATAATTTTGATTCATTCAAATCATTCATCAATTTCTTTCCTGAAATATGTTTATTTTTTATTGTTTTCCAAAGAAATTTTCGCTAAAAAAACCCGGAAAACTTACCCGAATTTTGCGGTAAACCAAGCGTTGTAAATGTATTTGGTGTCATACGTGCTGCTGCATTTGCCAATAATGATGATAATTGTTGTTGTTGTTGTTGCTGGTGTTGTTGTTGTTGAGAATAAAGATATGATTGATTTGTAGATTGTTGTTGTTGTTGTCCAGATTGTTGTTGACCATAAAATGCAGCAGCAGCTGCTGCTGCAACATGTAATGGAAATGTTCCTGGAAACATTTGTGCTAATGTTGCTGGTACATTTCCGCTTGCTATTGCTGCATGTAATAAATTTGCAGCCGCAACAGAATTATTTTGATTTTGATTTGCTGCAATTGATTGTTGATGATGCGAATGATGTGGTGATGTTGATTGAATTAAATCATTAATATTTTTATTTAAATTTGTTGGACTTGATGGTGATTTGGATGCCGATGATGATGATAAATTATCTGGTGAACGATTTAAATGACCACCACCACCAGCGCCACCAATTAAAACATTATGATTATGATGTGATGATTGTGTTGATGGATCCATATTTGTCAAATTAATTGATGACGATGATTGTTGCTGTGTTGATAATAAATTCAATGGTGACATCATCATCATTATTATTTTTGTAAAAGTAAATTTCTTTTTCAAAAATCTTTCAAAGTTTCAAAGTTTCAAAAGTTCAGAAGCAAGATACAAGTCACAAGATACAATCACTGTGTGTGTGTGTGTGCAAGAACCACCAAATTGATTATGGTAATTTTTAAACTTGTGTTACTTGTGTGTTACTTGTGATCACAATCTCATAATTGTGTTGCGCTAGCTGTGTGTATGTTTAACACTTCACTCTTCAACACACACTATCTATTTGACATATAAACACAGTAGCCACTATCATCCAAAAGAACTTTGTTCATTTCATTTCAAATTCTCTTTCTCTCACACACACAAAAGTGTATCATCGACTGATTTGATTTGACTTGACTTGACTTGACTGACTAAAATAGCGAACTACCTTTTAACTAACTGACTGACTGAATGACTGACTGACTGACTGACTGGATGTGAAGAACTTTATTTTCAACAAACTTCAAACGCTAGCTATAGCTAGCTAGCTGAACTGCTGTGGAACTACTACACACAGTGGAACTTGGCCATTGGATTTTTGAATGACTTCTTCTATTTTAAAAAGAGAGAGAGAACCAACCACAAAAGAGAGAGAAAGATACACTCGTAAAAAAAGAAAGACTTGCTTGTTTTTTACGTGTGTGCGTTGTTTGTTAAAAGTACCAGTTTCACTAACAACAACAGCAGCAGCAGTAGTAGTTTTTTTTTGGGTGAAAATAAAATAGTAAACTTCCCAGAAACAGAAACTTCACAGCAAGCTCTATCATCATCATCATCATCATCATCATCAGTAGTTCCAGAACTGTTGATGATGATGATGATGATCTTCTCTCATACTCTCTCTCTCTCTCTCTCTCCCTCTCTTTGACATAATCATCATGGTTGTAGTAGTAGCAGGAGAAAATTTTCAGTTTTTTTTTTGATCCACACAGAATAACTGGTAGCTTTTGAAAGGGGGGAGGAGAATGTGGTGTGTTACTTTGAGGGGGTAGGAAACAATTGGAACTTCTAACTATACAGACGTAAAAGTGTTGTGCATTGTGAAAAAAGTGAAGTTCACTAAAAAAAAAAAAACTTTTATTTTTTTCCCAATTGAGTTTACTTTACTTTACTTTAACTATCGATGGCAGCCTTAAAAAAAAAAAAAAATAGTCAACTGAGTCTGAGTGGTGTTGTAAAGTGATGATAAGTTACTTCCTCTTTTTTTTTCTTACACAGTGCACTGACTAAACTAAAAAGTAGTCAAAACTAAACAGAAGTATATATAGTGAGTGAGTTTTTAGTCACTGCCTTTTCTCTTTCTCTATCTCTCTCCAAACTACCAATAACCGTATACACACTATATATTGGGTAACTCCTTCCTTGCAAAACTAGTCATCATCATCATCATCATTTTTACCTAACTTACTTTATTCAAACTACACAAGTATGTAATGTTGATGATGATGATGATGATGATGAAAGCTAGTTCCAGGAGCGAAAAAAACAGAGTTTGTTTTTTTTGTTTGGAGTTTGAGCACATCATCATAATCATAATCATTGACTTTGGTTTTTTTCTGGTTAAAGAAAGTAGGTGTGTGTGTGTGTGTGTGTTTCTTTAGGATTCGACTCGGATAGAATTGGATGGACCTAATTTTTCTTTTAACATCATCCATGTCCGAGAAACGATAACGACATGACTATATCATTATCATCATAAATTTACCACTGTTGTTCTTTAGTTTTGTAGGGGGCGTTGTTAATAGACACACATAGAGAAAGAGAGAGAGAGTTACTATCAGATTCTCTTTTTCGATCAAGTTAAATTTGACTTACTAGAACTTCAAAATAACTGGACTTGACTGAATATGCTCGGATTTTCATTTTTGTCTCTATCCAAACAAGCAAGGAGGAAAAAGGATTGAGTTTATTTCTCTCTGCTGCTGTCATTTTATCGAATGCAATTTTGATGATGATAATTTTTTTTTTGTTTCTTTTGATAGAAAATTAAATTAACAGAATCCTAATGGAATTATGGAAGGGGAAAAAAATACGAAATCTTTCCCAAAATGAATTTGATGATGGTCATAATGATCATCATCATCATAAAGTTTCCAAGTAAAGCAGAAAACAAAATAAACAGATTTTCTCTTAAAGTTCATCGATTCAAGTGGTGGGCGTCGAAAATGATGAAAGAACAAAGGATATTCGTTGTTTGCCTGGATATATTTGAAATCAGAAAAGAAATAAGAAAAATTTCCCAGAAAATTTTTTTAAATTTTAAAACTGAAAAAAGTTTTTTCTCTCATTATTTGTTGTTGTTGTGGATTTTAAATATCCAACAACAACATCAAATGAATAATAATTTTAACGATTAATTTGGCGCGTGAGAGAGAGAGAAAAGTTTCCCGAAATTAGCATCCATTTGATGATACGATACTGGTAATTTATTTATTCAATTATATTTCACTCTCAATTTACTTTTTTTGGTTGTTTGGTTGGTTATTGTTGTTAAAATATTCATTGATAATTTGCTTGGTTGGTTGGTCGAGAGAGAAAAACTTGTTTAGTTGATGGCGCCGTATCATCATCAAAATGATTTTTTCCAAAAAGTTGCAAGCAACCAATTGATCATGCGTCAAATATGCTTTCTCTCTCGCTTTTGATATTTGAAAAAAATTTAGCCAATCAGTATGTTGAATGGGCGGTACTATCACTGTAATTGTAACGCCTTTTTTCGTTGCAAATTGACCAATAGAAATCCTTGTGCTGTGCTAATGCTGAAACGAAAACGAAACAAAAATCGGCCACAAAATCAAACCGAGAAGAAGACAATTACCGCAAAACCGAAAACAAAACAAATAAATAAATAATCAGAAAAAGAACGACAAGCCACACACACACTTATATTTTCAAAATGTCAATTTCGATTGTCTGTGTGTGTGCGATGTGTGTGATTAAAATTCATTTGAGAAAATATCTTATGGGGTTACATTAGTGGTTTGTTTCATACACGCACAAATGAAACATATGAAGACCAAAACATACATTTCAGATTCGACAACAACAAGATTTCCGTTCCTGAAAACTTTTGCAAACGAAAAACGAATTGAATTGATTGTGGAATGTAATTGAATATCGTTGTTGTTGTTCATTTGATTTGATAAAATAACATCCTTCTTCGTTTTCCTTTGATACTTTGTCAGAGAGAGAAAGAGAACATGACAACATCATGTGCGAAATTAATAAAAATCAAAATGATGATAATAATAAAAATCTGGAATGTTTGTCGTGTGTGTGTGTGTGTGGTTTGGTTTGGTTGGTTGATTGAATTGTGATGCGAATTGTGTTTGGTATGCTTGTTTTCTACTTTTTGTCAATTTAGTTAGCTGTGTGTGTGAGTGTGTGATAATGTCAATGAAAATTGTCATTTCATTAATGACAATCGAAAACGAATAGAAAAGCCACAAATAACATCAACATTATTCGGGTTTTATTTTGGGGCTGATTACGCTGACTGATGGCTATGATGGATGATAGGATATTGGCGATTTTGAATGGAATTTCTTTTCAATGAAAAAAAAACTAAATTCAAAATTCAAGAGTCATTGAAATAAACATGAGTTGAAGAAAAAAATTTTTGGCAAATAAAGGGTTTTTTCTTTGAAAATATATTTTCTGGATATCGATATCTATCGGTGTTTGTTCATTCATTCATTCAATTGATTGTTGTTATTCACAAGAATTTCTTCTTCTTTTCAAAAAAAAGCTGAAAAAAATGAACAATTTTTCTCTCGTTGAATGGAGTTTATCGATCCAAATGGAAAAATCAAAGAAAAATAAAAAAACGATCCAAACACCTGACCCTTAAAGGTTCATTGTTGATTGAATTGAATCGAATTGAATTGAATGAATGAAATATTCACCTTGATAATCAACCCAGAGAGACCGCTTGACGACATAACTCAATATGGGGTTACCTTTGCTTTTCATTTCAAAATGATGATGATGATGAAAAGAATATATATAAAAAAAGAATGCCGACATTGGAAATGGACCGATTTTTTTTTGTTGTTGTTTGGTCCATTGTAAAAATGGCCATGTTTTTTTATGATTATTATGATGATGATGATGATTATTGAGTCCAGGTAAGGTAGTTGCCAAAAAAAAAATATATTAGGTGTTTGTTGAGTAACTCTTACTCCATATATTTATTTCTTTCTCTCTCCTTCGTAACTCTATTCAAATCGGTTAAATTTCTCTGTCTTTTCTTAGTTTCTTTGCTTTGATTGTTACCTTTGATGATCTTCGAGAAAAAAAAAGTTTGCTCAATTTTTTGGAACACACGTGCACCATCATCAAACAAACAAACAGAAAAAAATTTTTACACCTTTTTTTTTCTTCAAATAACCCAAGATGACCGGTTAAAGAATTTCTTCTTTTCTTTGATTTAAATAGAAAAATTGTTCCAAAAAAAAGAGTGTGATATTGATCCAAATTCACCAGAACAAGAAAGAGAAAAGAAAAGCACTAGCGATATTGCCATTTGATGAAAAAAAACTTGATTTGTTTACTCATCTCTACAGGGTCACTTTGAATATCAAATAAAAAAAATTTTATTATTCACAAAAAAACATTCCACATCAACTTGAAAATGTAGGAAAAAAAGTTTTACTTTAGTGAAAAAATTCAATTCAAAAATAGGTGACAAACACTATCTGAATGAAAAATTTTTTTTTCTCTCGAATTCTAAATGAACTGGAATAAAATGGTATTTTTACATTGATAATGTCACTTTGAGAAGAGAAAAAAAAACTCCATAATCATTATGACTTTAGTGTTTTTTTTTCTCCAAAAATCAAAAAATCGAAATCGAAAAAAAAACCGTTTGCAATTCGCACTTTGATGGTGATTATGAGCATTATGATGACAAACGATACTGCTACTGATACTGATTTATTTGCATATATTCAGAACCAGAATCTGTGTGTCAAATGACCCTGAACACTTTTTCTGTTACATACATCAAGTGAGTGAAGTGAGTGATAAAGTGCGAACGAATGTGAAACAAAAAATCTGACCCATATGACACTGATGTGAACGTATGATGGACATTGATTATCATTGATGCGTAAGGTTATTATATCGTTTTTTTTTCTGGAAATTTTTC